GTGGTGCCATGTTCCTCACCCTCCTCCCTGAGGCAGGAGCCCATCTCTTGATCTGTCCTCTGGGGGAGCCCAAGGTATTATTCAGTCAAGAGGATTGAGTCAAATACTTAGACAACAAGACATGTATTTAATTATTTTTCTCTTTTGAGGCCCTTGTCTTTGACGGCTAAGAAGGTGAATTTTCAAAGGCTGAGCTATGAAGATTGTTTCTCTTTCGATTTTCGCCAGTAAAGCAGGCTGAGGGAAATTGAATGGGTTGAGATTTGCAAATCATGGAACCATGTTAAGTAGAAAGCAGTTGAGAGCCACTCCCCAACTCCCAGCCCCACAGAGCTGACCTATTCAAACAACTCTCAAAGCCTGGCCCTCCTAGGTAAGCCCCCCACGCTGTAACTCCCACCAGATCTCTGGAAACCTCAGTGGCTCTGCCAACTGCTCCAGCATTGGGCAGTAAGAAGCCCCATCTCTCCCTCCAGGTTCCGCCATTCTCTGCAGTTACTCACCAAAGAATAAGGCCTAGTATCAGGAGTAGAGGTAAAGCGATGATCAGCCCAAGGTTGCGGCCTTGCTGCACACCCTTGGCCTGCTCAGGCTGTTGGTTCGTGGTCGAAGACTCCAATTCTCCTGGATTCGGGCGTACTGAGGTCTCCTCAAGTGGAGCCATGTCACCTAGAAGTGGGGCCATCTCTCCCAGGAATGGGGCTGTCTCATCTTGGACTAGGGCTGCCTCATTCTGGAGTTGGGCCATCCCGGCCTGGATTGGTGAGGCAGTCTCACCCTGAGCTGCAGATGTCTCACCGTGGACTGGTGTGGCCATCTCACCTTGGAATTGGGCAGTTTCAGCCTGGCCTGGGGGAGTCATCTCACCCTGTAGTGGGGCAGTCTCCACCTGTTCTGGGGGAGTCATCTCACCCTGTCCTGGGGCCATCTCATTCTGGAGTGGTTGGCCCATTTCAATTTCGCCTGGTTCTGTCTCCTCTTCGAATGGTGCCATTTCAACCTGGTTTGGTGGAGCTGCCTCACCCTGGACCTCGGAGGCCGTCTCACCTTCACCTGGAGCCATCTCACCCTGAAGTGGGGCAGTCTCCTCCTCGAGTAGTGCTGTTTCAACCTGGTTTGTCTCACCCTGGAACTGGGAGGCCGTCTCACCTTCACCTGGAGCCATCTCACCCTGCAGTGGGGCAGTCTCCTCCTCGAGTAGTGCTGTTTCAACCTGGTTTGTCTCACCCTGGAACTGGGAGGCAGTCTCACCTTCACCTGGAGCCATCTCACCCTGCAGTGGGGCAGTCTCCACCTGGAATGGCTGGGTCGTCTCACCCTGGGCTGACTGGGTTGTCTCACCCTGGACCGGCAGAGTTGTCTCACCCTGAAGTGGGGCTGTCTCAGCCTCAAGTGGGGCTGTCTCAGCTTCAAGTGGAGCTGTCTCAGCCTGAACTGGAGCCGTCTCAACCAGGTCTGGAGATGTCATCTCACCCTGGACAGGTGGGCCCGTCTCACCCTGGACAGGTGGACCTGTCTCACCCTGGACAGGTGGGCCCGTCTCACCCTGGACTTGAGGGGCCATCTCACCTTGGGCCAGTGACCCCATACCATCCTGGAGTGGGGCAGTCTCACCCTGTTCTGTTGAGCCCGTATCTTCCTGGAATGGGCCCATCTCACCCTGTTCTGTTGGGCCCGTCTCACCCTGGAGTGGGGCTGTCTCACTCTGGACCCCTGGGCCCGTCTCACCCTGAACCCCTGGGCCCGTCTCACCCTGGACCGTTGGGGAAGCTGGGCCTGTCCCACCAGGGACGGCTGGACTGGTCTCACCAGTGACATTTGCACCCTGTGTCCCTGACTCTGTCTCATTCCCAAAGAGGATGCTTGTTGTTGGTGTCTCCTCTGTAGCATTTGGGGGCAAAACTGACAAAGGAGGGCAATGAGCTGTCCTGGCAGGAAGTGAAAGCAAGCCCTCCC